TTCTTACTCTATTTGCCATTATGTGTAAGATTTCTTTTTGAATACTCGGAGCAATGTATTGGGCATTTTTTGGAGCATTTTTCATCACAACTTTATCAATTTCTGTATTCGTTTCTGCCAAATTTTTTATCATTTCAAGAAATTTTCCACGATTAAATGAAGATTCAGATTCATCATGACCTTTAAAGGAACAAATTTGACATGCTAGCCATCGAGCACTTCGAATTGAAGTCTTTAAACGTAAACGACATTTCTCAACTTCTTCATTCGATATGGTATGCATCACTTTATCAATATGTTGAGATGGTTTCATTAAATCTTCAGCTCTTCTCTCACACATATTATGATCCGATGATCACAAATGAGTAAGAAACACACATTTTGAGCTGTCATTAACCCTTTTCCATTGGTTATATCCAGAAATTACCAATGCCAAACAATTGGACGAATTACCATCATTCCGAAAAAGATAACAATAAAAACAATATGCCCTATTTGTCATAGGTGAATACTCTAACCAAGGAAACTGGTTGAACCATTTTGCCTGAAAGCAACGAGACTGAGATTTTCCCTGTGTCTTAGAATACTCAGCAAGTTTTGGTTGATAAGGCCCAGCCTTTAGATATGCCACTCTAATCTCATCCCGCAGATTAAAAGAAAATTCAAGTATCTGCTTTCTTTTCCCCGGTTCCCTTTCAATGTCAATATTTGATGATAAATGATGTTCGACTTCTGGATCTTCAGTTTGTCCATCAAAAGTTGTATTTTCAGTAGGTCGACTTGCCCTTTGGAAGAACGAAAACAAGTTCTTATTCTTCTTGATAAGAGGTTGACCTTCCATTTTCAACTTCTTAAAATTGCAAAAAAAATAAAAATCAATCATCAATGATATCACTCTAACGATAATAAAAAAAACTAATTCATTAAGTTAACAAGGCAACAACAACAATTATTAAGCTCACAAGGCAATAACAACAATCATTAAGCCAACAATGCCACATCAAC